AAATTCATTTATCACCTGTTTTAGAAAGATAAACATATGATAAAGTTTTAACATTTTCTTTAATTTGTTTAATTAAAGCAACATCTTCTGTTATTCATTCAAAAATAACATTTTTCATTAATTTAGTTAACCAAGGAATTTCTATTTTTAAAATATTTTTGATAAAATTTCGTCCATAATTTAAAATGCCTAATAAACTCTGTAATTGTATTATATTTTCAAGAGTATCAGGAAAATCTTACACTTTGGACAAAATATGTTCTTGTTTTTAAACCTTTTTGATCTAAAATTATTCCAAAAAATTCAATTGATTTTTTTTCTAGTTCAATCTTTTTTGGAGACAAAATAATTCCATGTTTTTGAAACTTTTCACAAAGTAATTTTAAATGTTTCCTATGCTTCTCCTTGGTTTTAGAGAAGATAATTATATCATCAATATAAACTACACAATAATTTTTAAGTCCTTTAAAAATTATATACATCCACCGTTGAAATACTTGTGGTGTTATATTTAACCCAAAGGGCATAGCATTCCAATGGTAATGTCCTCTAGGGGTACTAAAAGCTGTCAATTTTTTTTGCTCTCCAGTCAATTGAATTTGCCAAAATCCACTCTTCTAATCAAATTTGCTAAAGATTTTTTATCCTTTAATTAAATTAATCGAAACATCTTTTCTTAGAATAAAATATTCATCAAATTCTAAATTTTCATTTAAAATTTTGGGAAGAGCTAAAGTAGGCTTTTTTTGGCTATTTTATCCATAAAAGACAAAATAGGTTATTTTAGCCACAAAAAATAAAATATCGCATTCAACCTATAATCATTGCACTCTTCTCTCATAAAAAAAACTAAAAAAGCCAAAAAGTCCTTCCCAAACCAAGTTTTTTAGCGCAGGCTAAAATAGCAAAAAAAGCCAAAAAACCAACCCACTTCCCAAACCAACCCATAGTTGACTACCATTCAGGTTTTCCCTCTTTTAATTTCAGCATAGTTTCTTACTATAAAAGTTGGACTAGAGTGAGGGCTTCTAGTTTCTTCAATTAATGTTTTGTCTAAAAGTTTCTGGAGTTGAATATCAAATTCATTTATGTGCTCGTTTGGCAAGTAGGGTTTGGGGCTTTTTTGGCTAAAATAGTCACAAAAAACAAAATAGACTTTTTAGTCCAATAAGACAAAACATCACATCCAACATTACAATCATTACATTTTTTCCTTACAAAAAAGGCAAAAAAACCAAAAGTTCTTCCCAAACCAAGGTATTTAGCCTCAGGCTTAAATAACTAAAAAAACCAAATAATTAAAAAGCTAACCCAGTTCCCAAAGAACCAGTGTCTCATAACTTTTAAAAAATCATAGGATTATATAGGAGTTTTTTAGCCAAAACCACTTAATAGTACAATGAAGAATAATAATACTAATAAATATTATAACGGTTTTAGAATTAAACACAATAAGTATAAGTTTTAATTTTATAATAAAACTTGTAATTTAATTTGGATTAAAACTAATATAATGAATATATTAAATATTTTTTTATTATATTAAAAAACCCTAACATATATCTCATAGTATAATTCACATATATCATTTTAATTTGCCATTTTGTGGGCGAAATAAAAGAAATAACATTTGTATTATTGGAATAACATTAATAAAAATATTATTTTGTCACTATTTATGGTTAAATAGTAATAAAATATAATATTTTGTTACTAATCATTGTTAAAATAGAAAAATAGCAAACCTTTTAATTATTGAATCGTTAAAGATGTTCTTAAAAGATGCACAAACGATACTATGGGCTATTTTAAAAAGATGGTTAAAAGTCATTTTTTTATTTTTAATTCATTTTAACACGCATCACAAATCCGCAAAACAAAGGTACTTTCAAGTTCAAGATTGGCTAGTAGAATTACTTCATGATTTTCACACTCCAAGTTCCAAAGATCTATTATAGTAGCTCCACTTATGGTGTTGCATAATTGCTTGTATATATGACTTAATAATGGGGAGTCTTGATAAGTAAATTGTATATAATGCAAAGGATTTACAATTAGAAAGGTGATAGATAATGGGAAAGATAAAATGTTTTGAGAGAGGTATCTACATTTTTATATATTATTTATGTTTTGAGTAATTTTAGTTCGTGGTATGATTCAAGCCTCCTAATATCGTGAACACTAAATGAAGGATGTTATGAGCAACTTCAGTTTTATGTTGAAACTATTTCACTCCAATTGTAACTTTACAAGGGGAAAAAAAACAGTTTTAAGACAGCGACTTTCAAAATTTCACAATTATATATTTCTTTGATCTTGTTTTTATCTATATATATTATTATTTAATTGCACCGAATAATCTGTTAATTTTATTGCCAGACTAACAATATATAGATATGAAAGACTTGACAAAATTTGTCTATAATTAATTTTTGTGTCAAATTTGACATAATTATGACAATACTAGAATATAGCAGCCATTATAGAGAGGCAAAAAAAACTTCCTACTGTTGTTAATTTTAGCAACAACCATTCGTACAACATCAGTTTTGCTACTTACTTTCTTTTTTGTTTTTTGGATCGAATTTTTGCTACTTACAAAAAGGTAAATTATAAATATATTTTTTGAAATTTGTTTAAAATATAAATGCCCTCTTGATTTGAAAAATTATAAATACTCTCTTATTAGAATTTTTTATTTAATAAAATTAATTGAAAAAGTGAAATTCATAATTGTTCTCTTATACATTAACAAAATTATCTAAACTATTAATTAAAATAAATTTCTGATATCATTAAAAAGTGTTAATTAACTTGATGATTTATTAATAAAATTAACTATTTGCTATAAAATTAAAAACTTTAAAAGACTGGAGATGTAATTTCAAAAACTATAAAAGACTATTTACATTTTAAATAAATCTCATGCGATTTATTTATAATTTAACTTTACATAAAAAGCAATTATAAAGTCATGGTAGGACCATGTCATACAAAAAAGTGGTGTCTCCTGGAGAATAAAAGTTTTGTGATGAATTTATAATGTTTTCCTTGCCTCGTAATCAAACTGCATGAATTTGGAGTGGCTGCTGAGCACACTGTTGTTCAGCCTGTTGAGCCTATTCTGGAGATGATTTTAATGATTTAAATTATTTATTTTTTAAAACATATCAAGTAGAATATGTCTGTAAAATATCAAGCTGATCGAAAATTAATAATCCTCTTTTCAAATCACATTTGTATATTAAAAAATTAATAGTAACTATAATTTGAAATATAAAACTAAATATAAATGTAATTTGATAAAATGACTTGATATCTAATTAACTCAAATTTTTACATTTATATTATACTCAATATATTTTAAAAAATAAATAATTTAAATTATCAAAATAAATTAAAAAATGTGCTTAACAAGCCGCACAACCTACCAACTCCGCATAGAACTGCCCATGTATGTGCTCCTCTAGTAACTAAAACATGGGTAATTATTCAATAATTTCGGAGTATGAACACGTGGTATTCTATAATATTATGATTGGTAGAAAAGGTAGATAAGTGGTTTATTGTGTTGGGTAATTGAAAAACATGAAGGAACATATTGAGTGAAGATTGGTTAGGGAGTATAGACACGTGATACTCCGGAAATATTGAATAATTTTCCTAAAACATATATATATATATATATTTCTGTTTTTTTAATTTTACCTAAAAGGCCAAAAGACCACCCAATCACCAATATGTCACGTTTTGTTGCCACTAAATTAATCCAAATGGTTGGCCGCCTATGTGCTGTAATACTAGTCCACCTTTTAATAGTTCACCTGAAAATATTGTATAAATAAATAATTCATTTATTGACTAATATACTACCTATCATATTATTATAATGACTTCTGTTTTAGATTTGAAATTTTAATTATTATATATTACCTGACACATAAATTATAAATAAGTCTTAATAATTTTAATTCTTATTAAATCTTGTTGAAGGTTAGTCATAGTAAAATTGTCTCTAAAAATAATTTTTTTTGACAATTTTTTGCATATATCACTAAAAATTAATAATTAGTGAAATTTTTTATCATGATTTTTATAAATTATCGCTAAAACTTACAATTAGTAACATTTTTCTGTGACATTTTTTAAACTGTCACTAAATGTTAAAAATTAGATATTTCTTTGTAACGATTTCTTTAAATTGTCGCTAAAACTTATAATTTGCGACTTTTTTGTGATAAAAATTTCAAACTCTTACTGAAAATTAACTATTAGTGACTTTTTAAACATTATTTAATGAAGAATACCGTTAATTATCATAGGACCTATTAAATAATAAATTCTCCTATTAAGACCTATATGTAAGTTCTCTAAACAAAAATTATAAATTTTTTTTGTTTGTACAACATTTATCATTGACTCAATTGTCATATATATTTGCTTTGGATATAGAGTGGAAATAATCCAAACCTTTGATTTAATCTATATTTTGTGTATAATTTGAAATAATTAATAGCTATACTCATATATAATTAGAATGAATAACTTCGACAACACCAGAGTCACCATATGTGAGCAAATGAGTTGCCAACTATGTGTAATCCATGACATGTTCAGTTTGATCGCGCTAAAACTGTGTTTGAAGTATAAAGATAAAGAAAAAATTTGTGGAATGAAGAAAAAAGTGAAATAGAAGTGTTTTCTTTTTCTTTTTCTTCTTGCACTACTCGTTTTCTTTTCCTGTACAACTATTTCCTCAAATTTAAGATCCAAATATAGCTTCAAAGTTTCAACATTGGCCCACCTTCCCCGTTCGACATAAATAAAAAAATAAAATCAATTTCCTCAAAACTTTTTTCATGCTTAATTAGCAAAAACAAGTAGTGGGGACTCAACTTTAACTTCCACATTGGATAAATTTTCTCAAATAAATTTCATATTACTTCATTTTACTTTACTATACTTTTTCCTATGAACAACTTTCTCACAATTCCTGACAATTGAATGCCGAACTAACTTTGCCAATTTCATAATAATTTGTGTTCATAAATCAGAGAGTCTTCACTTTACACATCACTCTTTATACAACCAGAGACGACTGACTTTCCGATACATACAATCTCTAAATACAAAGATGAGAATGATCAACCCAAGTGAATCTGATCTGAATAAACTACATAAAACAAGTAATTTAGTTTTAAAGCATAACAACATGGTGACTAAATGCCTATGGATCGATCTTTTTAGATCTATAACTACATAACATGTATATGTTACGGATCAAATAGTCACCGTTCTATGCAAAGTAGAATTTGCCTCTTTTGGTTTCCAGATAATATGCTCAAGTTTAGCACAGAAGTTCTTGTAAAACTGCAGCAAAAGAATGCGAGAGCATGTATCAATATTTGATTAGTGTACAACAGCAATCAATGCACGTCTGATGAAACAATGAGATCAGAAAAGAACGAACCAATGCGTGCTTTATATCGCTTGAATTAGTAGGACAACAATATTGATTACTTGTGACCCGTCAAAATTTAGGAGAGTTCATTAGCTTTACTTGGATAAACTCTATTAGTGAAGACATCCATGATGAATGCTAATTCAGATTTCTATGTTCAATTGCATCTAGTTGAGGATGTGTTTTTACAATGGTGATCCAAACCATCCAGCTCTATGGTAGGTTGGGTACACAAAGCAAATGCCACTACTACAAGATATTAAACATTTTTCATTCAATGCTCAATTTGTTTTGACGGAAAGCATCTTTTACAGAAAATATTTTCCGTAGATTAAGTTTGGTTATATTAGTGGTGGGATGTTGGTGGTCGTGGGATAGCGGAGGTAGTGGTGGTGGCGTTGATAAAATTTTAGTTCAAAAAACATTTTTCACCGTCCAAATAAGCAAGCTTTCATTGACTAAAAAAGAATTTTTGTTAAACTTTCGCTTTCAGTCTGTAAAGCATGGACACCTCTCCAAAGGTAGCGTATGGGTGTCTGACACATGTCGGACATGGACACAGGTCGAACACCTGGTAGACACGTGTTGGACACTCTATGGGAGGTGTCCCCTTTTTTTTTGAATTTTTCACAGCGGGACACGTTCGGTACACCCTTGTAGAGAGAGAGAGAGAGGGTGAAGAACCTGTTGAAGCTCTTGGGTGAAGAACCTATTGAAACCCTAGATAATCGAGGTATGGCTTTCGTTCTTCTTTGCTTCGTTTTTCTTCTTCTTTCTTAAGTTCGCAGGTCCTCTCTCTCTCTCTCTCTCTCTCTCTCTCTCTCTCTCTCTGTTTTGCATTATTATTTTTTTCTCTCTCTCTTATTAAATATGTACATTTTTTTAATCTTTTTTTGTAACCCCCATTTTTTTTTTAATACCTCAGACCCTCTTTTTATTTTTTCTGTTTTTTGGATATTTTTGTTTGCTGAACCTAAACATACACACAACAAACTATTTTTATTTGTAGAAAAAAATAAATTTATTAAATGTGTTTATTAATTTTAGGAAAAATTGGTCTAGGGTCCCTCTTCCACTTTTCGTAATGGAAGAGATCCACAAAATTATTTTTTGATGTCTAAGGTCCCTAAACATATATCAGAGAAATTTGACCATTTGTCTCTACTCTACTCTCTCTCTCTCTTCACCTTTCACCCACTGTCTTCCAGATCCAAGACAACAAGTTCTGCTCCTCCACCCTCCTCTACGACCTCTTCCTCAACAAGCTCTGCTCTGGTCCTATTGTCGGTGCTACGTATTCTGGTCTGCATCAACCGAAATACATCATCACCCTTCCCACACTCTCTCTTCCGTCGCCGACACCATTTACGTCGGTCTCGTCTCCGCCGATCAGATTAAGGATGCCAATTCCATCTCCGACCCTTCTCTGCTCGATATCGGTCAGACCCTTGTTGTTCCTCTTCCTTGTACTTGTTTCAATGGGACTTCATTGCCCGCCATTTATGTCTTATGTTGTTCAATCCCTGGATATTATGGCTGGGATTGCCTCCAGGTATTCCACTACTATTACTGATCTAATGACTGTCAATTCGTTAGGGAGTGTAGCTATTGATGCTGGTGACATTCTCGCTATTCCATTGTCTGGTAATTCACTTTCATCTTTTTATTACACCATTACTTTATTTTTTGAGATTTTGGATGTAAATGAAAAAACATAATAGGAGCAGAGAGAGTTAAAGCACATTATGAAAACACATTTGATAAATTCCGAAGCCAGAGAAATTCAAATTTCTCTGGGTTGAGAATTTCTCTGGTAGTTTAGCTCAGAACATCTATTTCGATTATTTTTTTTCATTTGAATTGAATTTTCTCTGGGTTGAGAATTTTCTCTGGGTTGAAAATTTCTCTGGAGAAAATTCATGACCTTAGATCACACTTTGGGGTCATTCCACAAGATCCAACTCTCTTTTGTGGGTCTGTGAGATTCAATCTAGACCCCTTATCAGAACACACTGATCAGGAAATATGGGAGGTAAGGTTTCTAGATCTAACTAGAGCTAAAAGACCAAATTTTGATTGTTCTACTAACACCAAAAAAAAAAAAAAAAAGGTCATAAAACTACTATTCTAAGTGGTTATACATGTTCTTGAATTGTTATACTAATTAGCTGTGGATCAGAAATACTAATCACTAATTGTGCAGTGTAAATGGCATGCAAAAATTAGAAAAGAGCCAGAGAAATTTGTGCAGTGAGAGAATTACTCACTCGACTTCATTTCCATGATTGCTTTGTCAATGTAATAATACCCTTTCTTCCTGTTCTATGCATTTGTCTTTGTGTGTTGCAAACATCTTTTTTTATGGTCATAAGAAGCTCAAATTTATGTAACTTACATATGTCAATTCATGTATGACTAACTAACTGTCTTTGCATGCAGGGCTGCGAGGGGTCCATTTTGCTAGACAATGCAGATGGAATAGAGAGTGAGAAAAATGCAACTATTAATTTGTCAATTAATGGATTTGCTGTTGTTGATGACATCAAGACTGCATTGGAGAATGTTTGTCCAGGTGTTGTCTCCTGTGCTGACATTTTGAAATAGCATGCATGCTTGGGAGCCATCTTCATGTACGAGCATTCGAGGCTCATTTTCAAGTTAAATTACCCATTGAAGGTAATGCAATATTTGCTTTAGCACACTTCCGAAAAATAAAGATGCCCCGCAATTAAAGTTAAGCTTTGTAACTTGTTGCTAAGAGCAGGCTATCAATGTTTGAGGACATAGGAAACCTTAGCAGAGATTTGATAATGGAAAGTATGTATATAATATTGTACTGTTGCCTTTCTTCCTCACCTTTGAGAAGCAAGGAAGTGAGTTGAGGTAGGGAAATTCTTATGTTCAAAAAAAAAAAGGGCAGAGAAATTTACAGTGGGAAGTTTAGGGAAGTCCAGAGAAACTCTTCCCAGAATTTCTCTGGACCAATTTTCTCTGGATTGATGTTGAGGGATCTTAGACATCATGAAAATATTTGATGTTCTTGATACTATAAAATCATAATATCAGGGAACTTAAAAAAAATGCCCCTTAATTTTATTGTTTTGTTGAATATGTTTATTAATATATATATATTTTTTTAAAAAATTTGTTAGTGTTATTTTTCATTTTTAATTACCTTCCAATGATTTTTTTTTTTTCAATTTTAGACATATAATAAATAAATAAAATTATATATATTGAGCGTGTCCCCAGCGTGTCGTGTCTCCCATTTTTTGAAAATTTGCATGTCCGGTCTCGTGTCCGTGTCTGTGTTTGTGTCTGTGTCTGTGCATCATAGCCTTCTGTCATACCAAACGCCAAACTATGCAAAAAATGTTTTTCAGAAAACGTTTTGCGCCATGACTAGAGAGTGATGCACTCCATGTTAAAGGCTATTTAACATGGATCAACACTGAAAGCTGCCCCTTTTTAATTTTAATTTTTTTCTTACTCCAAACTAAGTCTTGGGCTGAGAAATTAAGAATCGGGGTAATGGTTGCAACTTTGTGAAGAAAAATGTCACAGCCTAAGGTTTGACAAAGCCATAGTTCTGATGGAGCATTATAACAAATGGAAACTCAAATAATCAAAATACGAAGGTGTTAGCCTAAAATTTGCTAATTTAACTACGCAGTTCGACTAACAAAGTAAAAGATCCATAAATATATATTGATGTAAGTCTCGGAAACAGTATGGATTTTATTCAAAAAAAAATAATGAACGGATTTTATTCAACAAAAAATAATGAACGCAGATGTAAGTTTTAAAAGCTAGTACAAACTAACCTTGTGATATTCAAGAGTATCACCAGCAGCCTTACGAACATCGACCATGAAAAGGGATGGGGCAACTTCATAAACCTAAAGGCACGTTATAAATCTCTTAGAAATACAGCGCTAGTGTGGAGCCCTGGCCTGTCTATCAACAATAACAGAAGCGGTAATCAAGAAATTGACGTATAAGAATTACCTCCAATACAACAGCAATTGGTCCTTTCTTATTTGCAGATACTCCTTCAAGTCTAGTCTATGGAACATTCATCGGAATGAATTATCAAGAATAGGAACAAAATTTTAGCTAATTAGCACCTGGGTTGGTGAAACATGTGTCTTTATATAATTCAATTAATTTTATGATTTATTCGAAACACGATATATAACATTTAACCAAGACTCTCTAAGACCTTGGCCAAGTCAACTTGCTATTAATTTGTCCAGAATAGCCATATCTGGAAAGATCTTGGGACACAAGAACTTCAAAACATAAGATAATTTTCAAAATATAGTACACAGAAGAACTTCATATTAACACATACCATGCAGCCCACAGGGGGGGGGGGGGGGGGGGGGGTGGAGATTAAATTACACTTTACCCCTTTGTAATTTGGGCATAAAAGACACTGAGCCTCCCTAATGTTTGATTTGTGACACAAACCCCCTCACGGTGCTGTGTAAAGTGAAACCATTAAATTTTCATCCAAACTAGCACTGCATGAGTGTGACAAATTTGGATTTAAAATTTTTAAGTGTGCCCAATACTTCAGGGTAGTAACTCATGTGTCCTCACAATTTTCTTCTTCACCACCCTTTTTTCTCCATCTCTGGCCACTACAACCACTTGCTAATACCACCCTCCACAACACTCGCAGCTTCCCCCCTCAGCCACTGACCACTTTTCTTTTCTCTCTTCATGTTTCTTTCTCTCTCCAAAACCTCATTCACACAGGCCAGCCACCTGCCATGCCACCTTCACCTTCCTCACCTCCAGCCACCTTCACCCTTCATCTGCCTAACCTCTGGTCACCACTCCCTCAGCTACAAACCCAATTCTTCTTCATCCTCTTCTACATGTAGACCCCCAAACCCTCCATCTCTCCTATTTCTTTATCAAACCTCCAAGTCTCCTATCTCTAAAAAACTAGAGAAAAAGGTCAGAAACTCTAAACACATTTTTCTGCAACATAACTGCCTGGGACTGAAGATTTCAACTATTGTGATGCGACAACCATTGAACTGGGCTGCTATATATTCGTTAGTCATATGCATGGTTAGATATAGTGTTAGAAGACTGACTTATATAAAGGAAACCCATGTGTAGGAGCTGAAAGTCCTATAGATGATGACAAGATGAACCTCTCTCTCTCTCTCTCTGTCTCTCTCTCTCACACACACACACAAATTAAAGCAATTGATAGTACCCAATACTATGCCGAAGGGGCAAAGGAACAAAACATGAACTTGAACTCATGGCTCACTGGTCCTAAGCAACCTCTTCTTGTGCAAGCAATTAATCAGGTGTCTTGTATCATACTATGATAGAAATCAATATAGCAGGAAATTTATGTACTTTGTATTTCATGTTGGAATGTGACTTAACGACCATGGTATCATAGGATCTTCTAATTTCGACCAATAATAGCCATAATAAATAACCAACAAAACTAATCAGAAAATAAAATTGAGAGAAGTGACCCGTCAAATTATATAAGCTGAGAAGAAGATTAGAAGAAAGCAAGGAAAAGAGGTAGAAAGGTGGCTGGCCAATGGTTGTGACCACCGGAGGTGGAAAAGGGTACAAGTTCAACATGCTTCATAAACATTACACGGTTATTTCTGTCATTTTACATTTTCCATTACGTCTCTTCACTTTTACAGTTTGTTGTCACCACAAGGGGGTTCAATGTCACAAAACAAATTTTAAGAAGGCTACGTGTTTTGGGGCCTAAAACCAAGGGTTTTAAAGTTCAATTTACCCTAAACTAAATGTCACATTGTTTCTTTCCTAACAACCAAACTTCTCATAAACTTCAAAAAGAATGATCCCAACCTAAAATCATTCAATGATCCCAGCCTCAAATCATTCAAACAAACTCATCAACTCTAGATGCCATTTAGCCTCACACTAGGCAAATGTTAAAAGCTTCATCACCTGATAAATTACATCGACTCTAGGTCATCTGTATTATTAATTAATTATATGATATATTCTACTCAAGGCTGATAATTTTATAATATGACAAGGCAACTTAAACCAACCACATCTACTAAAAGTCAGACTGCAACCAAAAGATAACTTGAAGGAACAAGAAAAAATTAAAAAAAAAATTAACCACCACAAACCCATAGACATAGTGAAAAAGAAAAAAATAGGGCAGCTCTAGCTGAAAATGGGCTCCATATTTCTAAACAGGAAATCTACAATTACATGGCAAAAATAGTTGCAACTGATGATTTGTTATCATCATTCGAATAAAGAATTCAAGGGGAAGCATCAAGGTAAGATCAACTGCAAAATATATTAGAAACTATACCTTGTAATAACGCGTATGGACCTTGAGACCCATTGATTCTGCAACAGCTTCAATAGTTGAAATTATAAGCTTAGCTGGCTGGCGGGAAACAAAACGAGTTTGCCGCTTTACATAATCCTGCCAAAGATTAATAAAATTGATTGCCCTCCAGTTGCTAAATAGTTAGACGGCAAATAGTTAATGAACAAGTCTACTCCACACAAAAAGCACAAGAAAGAAACACTTCAGTATTAACATGCTACAAACAGGGAGTGACACTTGAGATAAGCACATATGTTACTTGCATGAAATATCTCTAGCATCGTACCAAAAAATGTAGTACTTGGAATGTTATAATCACTAGGAGGAGCCATAAGTTTAAGCTATCAATTCCAACAAGTATGAAGTTTATGATACTACTACCCAAATGAATAACAAAAACTAGAACAAATAGAGGATTGATGGGAGATTAGGTGATGCTCTGGTTCCAAAATAGAAGGTATGTAACTGTACCTGACGCCTGTCGAACAAGGCTGAAAGATTCAACCCCTGAGAAAGGGTAATCATCTCAAATGCATTCATTATTAAGGGTCCCCTCTCACTAGTTGTGGATTGCTCAATTACATACTGATCCTGCAAAATACCAGAAACTACCAATATAACCATACAGACTTTAAAAAAATATATTATTGAAGAGCATGGATAGGCAATAGACAAATATTGAAGAGCATCATGGTATGGTTCCTGCAATAGAAGCGATGAGATTTTATCATAATATTTGTTGATAACTAATAGTTTTAGAGAAGAGAAGAGTTAGGGAATGAGTGAGACCTCATCCCTTTTTATATGAGAAATAAACCATAATTACATGAGTGCAGTAAGGCATGATTTAATGGCCAACTGATAACAGCCCATTACATAAATCAAGGAACAAATCAGAATAATATCATTTCCTATTCTAACATGTGAATATAATTTCCTATTCTAACACTCTCCCTCAAGCTGGTGCAAAGATATCTCGCATGCCCAGTTTATTTAGAATGTCATGAAATGATTTGCTCCCTATTTCTTTGGTGAAAATATCTGCTAATTGGTTCCCAGTCTTCACAAATGGAGTATATATGGCGCCACTAGTGAGCTTTTCCTTGATGAAGTGCCCATCAATCTCCACATGCTTGGTTCTGTCATGTTGAACCGAATTAAGAGCTATGTTGATCGCCGCCTTGTTGTCACAGTGCATTCTCATGGAATCGGTCTGATGAACCCCCAAGTCTTCCAACAATAGCCTAATCCATAGCAACTCACATACATCCTGAGCCATAGCTCTGAATTCTGCCTCAGCACTAGATCTAGCAACCATATTTTGTTTCTTACTGCGCCATATGACTAAGTTGCCTCCAACAAATGTGCAATATCTTGAAGTTGATCGTCTGTCAGTGATTGATCCAGCCTAATCTGCATCAGCAAATGCCTCCACACTGAGATGCCCATGTTTCGAGAAATAGAGACCCTTTCCAGGAGAGGACTTCGGGTACCTCAGGACTCTCATGACCGCCTCTAAGTGAGAAGTTCTAGGGACATGCATAAACTGATAAACCATGCTCACTGCAATAGCAATGTCTGGACATGAGTGGGATAAGTATATGAGCTTACCCACTAGTCTCTGATATCGCCCCCTGTCCACTAGCTCTCCTACTTGATCCTCACTTAGTTTCTAGCCTGGTTTTAGAGGTATATCACATGGTCTACCTCCAAGTATCCCAGTTTCCTTTAGCAAGTCAAGGACATACTTCCTCTGGCATATGAAGATACTATCCTTGGATCGAGCTACTTCAATGGCCAAGAAATACTTCACATGACCCCAAGTCTTTGGTTTCGAACTCCTTAGCCCAGTATTCGTTCAACCGAGGGATCTCCGTAACATCATTCTCTGTCAAAACAATATCATCCACATAAACAATCAGAGCTGTGGTCTTACCATGTCAGGAGTGTTTCACAAATAAGGTGTGATCAGCTTGACTTTGCTTGAACCCATATCTCAGCATAGCTTGAGCAAACCGTTCAAACCACGGCCTAGGCGACTACTTTAGCCCATAAAGTGACTTCCGGAGCCTGCACACTTTACCTTTGGACTTAGCATCCTCAAAACCAAGAGGAATATCCATATAGACCTCTTCTTCTAGGTCTCAATGAAGGAAGACATTCTTCACATCAAACTGATGAAGTGGTCAATCCAAGTTTGTTGCAAGAGAGAGCAGTATTTATACAAAGTTCATCTTAGCAATCGGAGCAAATGTCTCCTGGTAATCTACTCCAAAAGTCTGAGTGAAGCCCTTAGCAACTAGTCTTGCCTTGTACTGTTCGATGGAACCATCTGCATTGTGTTTGACAGTGTACACCCACTTACACCCAACTGGATGTTTGCCTCTAGGTAACTCCACTAACTCTCAAGTGCCATTCTTGCTGAGAGCTCTCATCTCTTCCATCATGCCATGTTTCCATTCAAGAATAGAGAGAGCATCCTGAAAATTATTAGACAGACTCACAAAAGAAACTTTACACAGAAAGGCTTTATATGAAGGAGACAGATTAGAATAAGTGACATGATTAGTAATAAGATGCTGAGTACATGACCTAACCCCTTTCCTATTATTTCCTATTAGCAATAGGAACATCAAGATCTGAAAACGCAGAACTAGAAACACTAGGATCAGAATTCCCTGGACTCTCAGGAGGACACTCGTCCAGAGAAGTAGTTGGCAGTAGAGAAGGAAAAGTAATCTCTTGCATCCAGATAACTTGATGTCTGTCCTTATCCCTGACATAAACTTTGCCTGCGTCATCAACAACTGTTGGCTCGTCATCCTCTATTTGTTTAACCACTAGCGGAAGTGGAACAAGAATCTCTTCACACCAAGGCTCTCCCGGAAGGGATGACGGGGACACTGGAGAGGGTAGAAAGTAAGACTAAGACTCGAAAAATGTAACATCCATGGAGACAAACCATTTGTGAGTGCAAGGATGATAACATTTATAACCCTTTTGTGTGGCAGAGTAACCCAGGAAAACGCACTTAAAAGACCGAGGATCAAATTTAGCATAAGTGGGGTAATGATTGTGGACAAAGCAAACACAGCCAAAGGTCTTAGAGGGAATGGCAAACCCAGAGGAGGTGGACCCGGACAGAACTTGAAGAGGTGTTTGTTTGTGAAGGACTTGGGTAGGAAGACGATTAATCAAATAAACGGCAGTGAAAATCACTGCTCCCCAATAGGATCTAGGAACACGCATTTCAAAAGATAGATAACGAGCCACATCAAGGAGATGACAATTTTCCATTTGGCAACACCATTTTGTTGAGGGGTGTTAGTGCAGGAAGTGTGATGAATAATGCCAGAAATAGCTGACAAGACAAGAGTCAATATATTCCCCCACATCAAAACGTAAAATTTTGACAACCGCCTCAAACTGTAAATCATTTTATGAAAGTTTTGAAACACAGAAAACAACTCACTTTTATCTTTCATCAGATAGACCCAAGTGGCCCTAGAACAATCATCTATGAAAGTGGCAAACCATTTTTACCTTTTAAAGACACAAAACGCGAGGGATCCCAGACATCAAAATGAATTAAAGTAAATGGAACTAAACTTTTATTAATAGAAGGAGCAAAAGAAGCTCGGTGTTGTTTTCCAAGTTGACAAGACTCACATTGAAAATCAGACACATTATTTTTCTCAAAGACAAAAGGAAATAAATGCTCAAGGAGTTAAAAAGAGAGATGTCCTAAACGGCGGTGCTACAGCCAAAGGTCTTCCTTGGTGGATGGTAACTATATAGATGAGTGAGCCAACTTGTCTGTCTGATTTAGAATGTAGAGACCATGTTCCTCTTTACCACTACCAATCTCCTTCTTGTGATAAGGTCCTAGAAAAGACAACGATCAAGGAAAAACGTCATACTATGATTCAAATCACAAGTAATACGACTCAAAAATAAAAGATTAACACTAAAATTGAGAACACAGAGGACAGAGGACAGAGGACAAAGGAAGGGAAGAAGTGACATGAATTAAACATTTCCCTGATACAGAGGACATAGTACCATCAGCAATACGCACTTTTTCTTAACCTGAAGAGGGGTTATACTCTGAGAATAAATGAGAGGAACCAAACATATGGTCAGAAGCACTAGAATCAATAATCCATGACACAGTGGTATGAGATAGCAATGCACATGGGAAGGAAGCCAAGTTACCTGAATTGGAAAAGGAAAAGGAGGGTGCACCTATGGCAAACGTGGAGGCTCGACAGTCAAGCAAGTGGCGAAGAGGAATCTCAAAATTTGAGGCAGATAACCCCGAAACATCAGCTTCCGGTGAGACAACTAGAGATGAAGGTGGTGGTTCAACTGTATCTGAAAGATGTGCCCGAGCATTGGCTCCTCGACCTCTAGACTGGCTAGATCTACCCCTGCAATAACTAGGATGGTCGCCTCGGCCACTAGAAGGAGTCTCATGCAGCTTCCAACAAGTTTCTCAGGTGTGACGAGGTCGACGGCAGTAGTCACAGAAAAGATGATCCTTCTCTGAAGAAGGACGAGAACCACATGTTACCCGTTCTGCATCTCGAGGGGGTGCAGAAACCAAGGCAGAGCGATCAGTAGTGGTAGAAGGAAGCATAGCAGAGCGGCGACTCTCCTCATTCTACACAAAAACAAAGGCTTCCTGGAGAGAAGGAAGCATATCCATGCCAAGGACTCTACTCCGAACCGGATCATACTCCACATTCAGACCTTTCAAGAACTTGAAAACCCGCTCTTGTTCCACAAACTTTTAGTAACCAACAGAATCAGTGGGACGGACAGACAGGCTTGTAATCCTGAAGGTGATCAAGACGCTTCCACCCATTGCTAAGAAAGGTAAAATACTAGAAGATAGTCATCTCACCTTGTACCAACCTTTCAATGGATCGACGCAATTCGAATGCCTAGGAGAAATTCCCTTTGCGGGAATAAGTAGTAGCCATAGCCCTCCAAATGTCCTGTGTAGTATCCATGGACAAGCATCCTTCACCAATCTTAGGAACCATAGAGTGTATCAGCCATCCCATGATCAGAGAATTTGTAATTTCCCACTAGTCATAACTGGAATCTGTAATGCTAGGTGCTTGTATTCTCCCATCAACATAACCCATCTTTCCCCTACTCTTGAGAAAAAGAGTCAGACTCTGTGACCATGCTAGGTAGTTTCTGACCATTAAATAGAGAGGTGGTGATTTTAAAGTTAGGATTCATAGTGTCAGATGCAGTAGTCATGATGGGACTCTCCCCCTTTGGTGGTTGAGAAATAGGAGTGGATTCACTAGTTAAGTCAACCATATATACTCTACAATCCTAACCCAATAATACTGCACTAATCAAAAAAATTGGAAAGATCGAATGGAATGAACAAGCATTGTGTAGTACTGACCACTATGAGATCATAATATAATATTCACTTTTTCAAAGTAAAACAGGGCCTTATTAAATGACAAAAGCGTGACCCATCAAGTAAACAGAGAGATAAAGGTAGGTACTATGTAGAACAGATAAGCAAACAGATGAACTAATCAGATCATACCCATAACCAGAGTCAACAGAGGGCAGCAGAGCAGTGGATGGAGCCAAAACAGACAAAGACACTATCAAATGACCAGAAAAGGTGTCGACTAGCCCAGGCGAGCTTCCAACAGCAATCAAGTAGGCATTGGGATGGAGCTGAAATAGACAGAGACACTATCGGATGACTAGAAAATGTGTCGACTAGCCCAGGTGAGCTTCCGACAGCAATCAAGTAAGCATAGGGAGCCTTCGGTAGGACCTGGGAGCCTTCGACAGGACCTGGGTGCCTTCGGCAAGGCCTGGGTGACCTTCGGCAGCAGTTGACCAGGCCTGGGTGGCCTTCAGTGACTGTCGACCAGGCCTGGGAGGGCTTTTAGCAGTAATCAACCAGGCCTAGATGGCCTTTGGTGACTGTCGACTCAACCTTGGTCACCTCTACTGCTATAGAGACCTCTACTCTCACAAGAGGTTGATGAAACTCTATGGGTGGTTGTGTGGTGGTTGTAGGGTGGCTAGGTGGTGGTGTATAGGTCTAGGTTTATGGCTCTTATACCATGATAGTTTTAGAGAAGAGAAGAGAAGAGAAGAGAAGAGCTAGGGAATGAGTAAGAGCTCATCCCCTTTTATATTAGAAATAAACCATAATTACAGGAGTGCCATAAGGCATGATTTAAGGGCCAACTCATAACAGCCCATTACATAGATCAAGGAACAAATCAGAATAATATCATTTCCTATTCTAACATGTGAACATAATTTCCCATTCTAACAATAACAATAGAAAAGACTTCAAATTCTGCAAAGCAAAGAGGAGGAGGGGAGGGGGGGGCACAACCTCGATGTCATCAAAAACTGCACGAACATCATCCAAATTCACGTCTTCATTTTCTCCTTGTTTAACAGCCACATAGTTCTGTCGGAACCATGGGTCATTCTTAATCCCTTCAATCTTGATACGCTGCATGAACACAAAGAACAATTACAAAAAATGAAGGAGAAGAAAATATCAAAGAGATCTTAAAAGTACAGTTCAGTAAAAAAAATTGATTATCCTTGGTAAACATACAACCAAAAGGTATAATTTCATCCTCGCACAAAAACAATGTGATTTTGATATGCATACACAAAGTAAGAGTTAGACACTCGAATGATGAAAATAAGAACGGACAGCGAGATTGACATCTTTGAGGAGTTAGAGAGCACCATACAACCTTCTTAAACAAGCTCATTTTATAGACCACTTGCAACGTGTGCTGCTGCAAACAGAGCTTACGTCGGTTGCCAAGTGTCTACTAAAATCAGATTAACTTCTTGTTGTTTATGGATTCCAAGTAATAGAATTTAGGAACACTTGCTAAGGTAATGGAGTGTTATACTCTTATTGAAGGAAGATGAAATTAAGGTTGTAGCTATAAGAGTTTCGTAGGTTACTAAAGCCAAAATTATGCATTGGGACTTAATATAGGGGTTGTTTGTTGACTTGACACTTCTGTTTTCTGTTATTGTTTTTTTTTTTTTCATTTTTTTTTTTTTTTTTTTTTTTTTTTTTTTTTTTTGGGAAACCAGAAACAAAATTTTGTTTGGTATATTGTTTTCGTTTTCATAAAAGTGGAATCAATTCCAAAATTTTCAGAATTTTGGGGAGCGGAAAATTGGTGATTTCATTTGCTTTCAAACAAATGAGAACCCCCCAGAAGGGAAGAATTTTGACTTCTATGTATCCATCAATAGTTTACTATTGGAGATGATATTAATATTTATTTATAGACCACATGATTTGAATTGTTTATATAATATTCTAGCAGGAAAAATGGCAAAACTAAAGCTAACACACTCTTGATCCCACCTGCAAAGCTTCAGATTTTAGTAGTAAATTGATTAAATATATGTTAAGGTTGTTGTCACTTCATCACCATAAAATGCATGCCAATTAACGGCCATTGAACCCATAAGCACATATAATTGCAAAACTTATTATCTATAGTCTTAAGTTTGTCACTATGAAGGTTAAAGAGACTTGATTGGAAGAATATAGAGAATGTTTAAAGCACATGAAAATCTATAAGACAAGACAGAGACATGAGTGTAGTTATATAAACAAAGATAAGTTAGGTTTTGAAGAGAGATAAATAAGTTAGATTGAAATTTAAATACCAAATAGAGATGAAGTTTGAGGAGAGTTTGGTTGAAATTCAAATATCAACTAAATGTTAAAATTTGTATATCAACTCAATTCGGATAAACAATCAAAAAATAGGGAACATCAATTCAAATAAACCATCAAAATCAAAGAATAGAAACAGAAGGTGAGGTGCTTTACTGATTCAAAATAATCAATAAGCAATGATCTTCATACTCACAATCTCTGGGTTGGGATCAAGGATCTTATGTATCAAGGACTTTGCACCAGGAGAAAACCAAATTGGACACGAAAATTCAGCAACATTTATCTACACAAATCAGAGGAACAGTTAGAAAGTCTCACACATACTGGCATGGTTTACCAAATGTTTTAGATGATAAAAATGGGTCCAATGAGAAATTTTTCTCAATTCGTAAAGTGCTTAAAGGATTAAACATGCCCTCGTTGCAACTTATGCTCTTTCCAAAGACACGGTTGTCAGTGTCTGACACAGACACAATATATGCCTGTGACAGTGACCTCCCACAAACAGCGAAGAGATAAAATTATGGACATAGGCATGGCACATATGCAATATGTTCTGAATGGAGTTTCCGACATGTTAAACAAATGGGCACAACAAAGATGTATTCTTGATAAAAATACATCACCATTATAAGTTACTAGAAAATGGAATATATCAATGCATCAGAACGACATCTGACGGAACTTAAGCACTAAACATAAGCAGTTAAAAGAATAAGAGCAACTAACCTTTTGGTACAAGGTCGGAAGGTCTATGTCATCAAATGGAAGATACCCAGCCATTAAAACATAAAGGATGACTCCACATGACCAGACATCTGCTGCAGCACCATCATAACCCCGGTGGCATAAAACCTATGGCATTGGTTGAGAAGAAATTTAGATGGCAGCAAAAAAATTAAGGACCATGCTTCTTTGGAAAAAAAAGGTTTTGAATAAATAAATAATGTAGGAGAAACATTGTGAGTTTAACCAGAAGAATTGAAACATTAGCCAACTGAAAAGCTTACTTCAAAGCACAATTATATCACAGAAACTTCACAACTATCAGCAAAGTTAGAGAAAGGCTAAGGGATACAATTTCTATTGCATATTACTTTCAAAGGAAAACAAGACATATGCATAGCTGTTGACAATGCAAGGGAGAACAGGAGAAAATATAAAATGACTCACATGGCATAGAAGTTAAGGGAGAGCAAGCAAGGGATAGACTCAATGACAGAGTCTTAACAGTTTGTCCCTTCCTGCACCACCCCCCTTGCACAGAAATCAACAAGGGGTTCAAACACCTCCTCTTACACCTGTCTATTGCCAAATAAAAGACAATGACCAATCCTTCTTACAATCAACTTTACAGCTCTTATTGTTCAAATATTTCCCAAGTATGACATTTATTTGACTCATAATTAAATCATTGTGGTTTCAAATATCAGTACTTACTTTTCCCTCTGCCCATTTTATGCGTCATAGTTGACAGAGCACAAACTTTGACGAAGCATCTTCCAATGGTGCATTTACAAAAAAGCCCATTGTCTTGTTTGAATAAATTTTTTGACAAACAGATTTGTATTTAAATATAAATTTAAACATGGGTAGTAAGGCATATCTATAGTCCATAGTATTCCACATCTATCCATAGCCCATATCTATACATGTAAAGTAAAAAGCTCCATCATATAATAGCTCAGAAATTTCAATAGAGAAGAAAAGGGGAGTTTTGTAATGGTTCTTAAGTCTTTTCTACTACATAATCATCAGCCTTAAGCATAAGGATGACCTCAATGCTACGGTAGTGGTGGGAATGAAATGATGGTAGTGTTTAAGTGGTGGCAAAGCCAATGGTGGAGAAAGGAAGTGGTTGCACTAGAAGTGGTAGTCTCGAATAATTTTAGTGGAACTATCATGCGAATGGTTTGATTTGGTTTATCAAGCGAATAGTGGTGCTACAAGAAAATATGAATTAAAGCCTAGGTAATTATTGTAATGTTGCGTCAAATTACAATGGTGTTCATCCCCTGCTTATAAGAAAAGAAATAATTACTGGAATAAAGTACTATTCTAATAAGGATTTGCCCCAGCTTCAAGCTTTACAGATCAGTAAAAATAGGAACAATGTTTATAAAATCATTACGGAAGTACAAAAAGCTTCCATAAATTTGACGCCATGCACTTCATAGAGAGATTATGTATAAGTTATGTACATACACTAATGCCAACAAGAATATTCAACCAATATGAAGCCCAAGTCAAATGAAACCAAATATAAATGTACACACAAAACTGGAATGCAGCAGTGCACGAGACCATATTAAATTACAATGCAGAGTATCTTGAAAAGTCTACCTCAGGAGCAACATAATTTGGCGTCCCACAAGTGGTGTGAAGAAGTTCAACTCCCTGCACACGGATTTAGAAGGAAAAAAAAAATTATAGAGCATGAACACTTGTACATTGTTTAGAAATAAAAAACCTCCCTGGCCTGATTTAATGCAAATAGAATTTGATCATGCATACTTGTTGGGGCAATGCACTCAGTCCAAAATCAGAAACTTTCAAGTTTCCATGGGAATCGAGAAGAAGATTTTCAGGCTATAAATCAAAAGGAAAAGAAAGAACAATTAACTTGGGTGAAAATGTAATCTTATAAATGCAAAATAACTGCCAGCTGAGAAAGAGTTGTGTCAACCATCACCCCACACCTTCAAATCTCTGTGGTAAACACCCTTACTATGACAATGAGCAACTGCATCTATAAGTTGCTGAAAGTAGCACCTAGATTCATTCTCAGAGAGCCTTCCTTTATGAACCTGTACAGTGTACACCCATGTTAAGCATAACAAGAAGAGTTTCCAACATTAATAATGCCACAAAAATTAAGAGGCAACATTTTACATTAATAAATTGAAATGGCCTTTGATAGGGCCGCGTGGAGAAGAAGGATTCATATAGCCGACCCCATTTGATGGGACTTAAGGCTAGGCTTGGTTTGGTTTGGTTTATTTTACATTAATAAATTGAAAACCAGGTTACTGCTTACAGATGCAGCAGATCTCTGAGCTAAATCAAAGTCAATTGTATCCTCATCAAAGCTAAAATATAAGTGAACTACCTCTTCAATTTCCATCATGATCTTTTGCATCCATTAGGATGCATCTCAAAGACCAAAGTTATATTTTCATAATTTAATCAACCAATTGCAAGTGGGGTCATCCCACTTTCCATCTCACAGCCCAACATATCTTAACCCACTTCTTCAATTATTTGGGACTTGTATGAAGTTATTGCCAAGTACAAAACAGTGAAGTTATTAATGTCAACACGATCACTCTACAAAGTTGCTTAAAGGTACAATTAATTGCATGTTGAATGGTAACAATGTTTGTTACTGCATCTGAGCTTTCTTAGCTCATACCGATTACTAGGTATTCTGAACAAGCATCTCATTAAGCAGTTCTCTATGAAATTATAGAATTAGTTGCTAATAAGCATGTGTAGATTGAAGAACATCTGCCTGTGAGAATGTGTTCTCCTTTTTCCTTATAGGATTAGGAATTAGTGTCCTATTAGACTTCTATATATCAGTGATCTATTCATGTATTCATGTAGGATTAGAAATTAGTGTTCTACATAAATGATGTATTCTTTGTCAATCAATTCAATCTAATATATAGTTTCATTCAGAAAACTTACATGAAATCAGAGCCAAAAAGCCAGACAGAAGAAGGGATACCTGAAGAGGACCCAAGCAAACCTGAATGAAGAGAGGTAAGAGCGGAGGCAGATGGAGATGGCTGAGAGGTGGACAGAATATGTTGAAGTTGTGCAACCTGAGCACTCAAGGAAGCCAAGTTAGAATCGGGAGCCGGAGTAGATGTAGTATAAGCAGCAGGAGGTCGGAAAGTACCCAAGGTAGGACCGCGGAACTGTGTCTGAGAAGACGGAGCAAGTGACGTCCCTTCTTGGGACAGTTGTTCTTCCAATGACCCTTCTGATGGCAGAAAGCACACTCATCTGGCCCTAATGGTCATTTCTCGGGTTTCGCAGTGACCTGAAGCTGATGAGGAGGTGGGATCGATAACAACGGAGGCTTGGCAAGAGCCAAGAAGACAGAAGGAGGCAGAGTCTGACTAGCCGTCTTAAGACGGGTTTCCTCGGAGAAGAGCTTACAAACAATAGCATCCACAGATGGAAGAGGAGATTGGTGAAGGATGCCACCTCGGATAGCCTCATGCTGAGGGGAGAGAGCCGTTAAGAATTGCACTAAACGACCCTGCTCCCGAAACTCAAGATAAGCGTCCAATATCTTGAGACTAAGTGGTTCCATAAGAGCTAACTAATCCTAGAGACCTGTCGTCTCAATATAGAAGCCTTGAATAATCTGATCCCGCTGACGAGCATTCTGAATAGCTATTTCCAACTCATACCGCTTAGAAAAGTTGGACTGCTAATAAATACCTAGTAAATAATCTCACACCTCCTTGGCAATACTGTACTTGGAAAACATCATTCTAATACGATCATCCACAGAGTTATGAAACCAGGTCAGAACTTGGGCATTATCACAACCTCAAGAGTCACAGAAAGTCAGATATCCTTCTGCCTTCGGGTCCGATGGACGAGGAACAGAACCAGAAACATAGCCCCATTTTTTTTTACCAAGAAGAAAATTCTTCATAACACTGGCCCAATAGGCATAATTGCCACCAGTGAATTTGCATTTGATGGCTTGGATTTTAGTTTCCGACATTTGTAATAAAACAAAGTTTATGGTGTCCAAGTATAAAACAACTTAATCAGAGGAGTCAAACTGTAATAATCCCAAATTAGCACAGTTGGGTCAAATACTGGTGAATTCAGATACTAATAACAATACGAGAGACAGAGACAGAGATAACCAGAGAGCTCAATACGAGAGAGAGAGAGAGAGAGAGAGAGAGAGATAACCAGAGGGCTCGATTGCAACGATGTCAAAGCCCTAAGGAGAACCAGCGAGACAGAGAGGGACAGCGAACCAGAAAACCACAATCCAGCGATGTAGACAGATGCGCCAGAGACCCACGGATCACATTGGACCAGCGACTCACACTGAACCAGCGAACCAGAAAACCACAACAGTGAGACAAGGAGGAGAGAGAAGAAGTGGTTTCCAGGAGTTGATCGACCTGGACAGACCAGTCGATCAATCGATTGACCTATACAAACCAGTCGATCGAGAGAAAGAAAGGCCTTCGAACCAAACAAGCCATCAATCATGATCAAGGGATACGACCACGACTCACGATGCAGAGTGGTGAACAGTTTATAGGATTAGGAATTAGTGTCCTATTAGACTTCTATACATCAGTGATGTATTCATGTAGGATTAGGAATTAGTGTTCTATATAAATGATGTATTCTTTGTCAATCAATTCAATCTAATATACAGTTTCATTCATAAAACTTACACTACCATTCCCCAGCACTTGATCACCATGATGGTAGTGCATTCTGGAATTATAGGTAGGGCTGATCCATTATACAATATAAGTAGAATGAAGTGAACAACTTGTTGGATATTCAATCGCAAGTCCTCAGGGATGTAAAGATTGGATGATATATCCAATCAAGAGACTGATTAGGCACTTAGCCAAACAATGAGACCATCATCTCAGAATTTTAGATTAGTGAACACATCAAGCCCATGTAAATAACACAGAATTTTTACTAGTCACCCAAGTTTGCCTCCCTGCCCATACAGGTGGAAAAGGCATGAATTCCAACATGTCCATATTATGCTCACCTAATGAGCTTAAACCTAAATGCAAACTGCTTCACATTCTCCATATTTTTGACATGCATAAAAATAAAATAATGTATAACACCCAAACCAAATGATATTTTCTTTTGATTCTTAAAAATATATATTTTCTGTTGAGGCAATCAAGCTACTTACGACTTTCAAGCAGTTTTGAACCAAGTAAAATTTTGGGCAGAAAACATACCCAATGAACAGCATCTAACATCATGCACTGAAAGCTTGAATTACTAGAACAAGAAAGAAGCAAAACCAAATGTAAAATGCACAATCTCTTCCAATATTTCAACAAGCAAGAACCTATTCAAATCCAAAAATGTATAGTACTCTAAGAACTACTTTTGATAGGACTAGCGTAGCCAATCAAGTATCAATGACAGTGATGGTGCATATCAAATGGATTCCTACTTTTGATAGGACTAGCGTAACCAAATGTTGACCACAGGATTTTGGATGCAGCTGTCTAACAACTAACTTGATGAACAGATCCGAAAGTTTACATACACCATAGAATGTTGGACTCCTAATGGTGCATATCAAATGGATTCCTAATGGTGCATATCAAAGTCAAGAGAGAGGAAATACCATTCCTGAACTAAGAGTCGCAGTGTGTGTATTCTATTGGGAAACCGAAACCTCATATCAACTGTACGTTGTTGAAATGAAAAGGTATACAATGAAGAAAACTTAGAAAAGCCAAAATCAATAAGGAGTGCAACTCATTTCTAGAAGAACCCATGGAACTCAAGGTATAAGCTACAAAACAAATAGATCCATCAAAAGTATGCCAGAATGCTTTCCTCACTCAGACATACAATGACTGGTTATGCAAGCTAAAACTACAATATCAACAATCATTTGTAAGCCTGTGCCAAAACTCTAGATTTTATCAACTGGAATAAAATATTGAATTAAGCAGCTTTAAAGAGCCTGCAGAATTTTAAGACAATAATCCTATATTTCATCCTTTCCAAAAGAAATAATACTATAAGATTGAGTGCAGCTCTTTGGTAGAGGTAAGATACAAACCAGACTGTATATACATAGAAAGAAGGCTGAACAGAGGACCATCACAGCATCATCCTATTATAATTATCCTCATACAATCCTATGCAGTGTTCGTCTCAAAATATGAAGTAAACCCTTCTGAGCAAGGCAACACTCCAACTAGAAATTGGTATTAAAGGATTTGCACTCCACAGGTGAAGCTTAGTGGTGTATTCCTTGATCCTTATTGTGATTCAATTCTAAGCAAGGTTCTGAAAAGCGGTTGCGGTCGCCGTAACGGTGGTAGTGGCGCGGTTGCGGGTGCGGGTGCGGGTGCGGGTGCAGGCTGTAAAGGCCGTAGTGTAACGGTTGCGGTAATCGGAACCGTGAATTTTTTTATTTTTCGCACAATTTGAAAAAAACTTACCGATACGCATTTTTTTTCCATGATCATATTTATTGGGTTTCCTTGATCCTTATTGTGATTCAATTCTAAGCAAGGTTCTGAAAAGCGGTTGCGGTCGCCATAACGGTGGCGGTAGCGCGGTTGCGGTTGCGGTTGCGGTTGCGGTTGCGGTTGCGGTTGCGGATGTGGGCTGTAAAGGCCGTAGTGTAACGGTTGCGGTAATCGGAACCGTGAATTTTTTTATTTTTCGCACAATTTGAAAAAAATTTACCGATACACATTTTTTTTCCATGATCATATTTATTGGGTTTAAAATAAATATTGATCAATTTTGATAAATTTTTAAGTATGATCCAATAAATTTCATATTTTTAAATCACTATAAACTGAGTTTTTTTCATTTTATTTTAATAATTAATGACTTTATATTATACAAAAAATCAATCACTAACTATTATATATAAGATAAACAATGACAAAAGTAAGAGGATAAATAAGAGCCTAAATATATGTATATATATACCTATTTTAACCAAGCCAAATAGGAAATGACCATACTTATTATTATTATTATTATTATTATTTTCAAACAATATATAGATAGGCACACACAAACAAAATGGTTGAGTGATAGCAGCTAAATAGAATAGCATAGATCTTACAGCTTCAACAAATCAATAATATGTTCTTCATCTTCCCTCTTCTCTCTCTCTATCTCTTGCTCCTCCATCTTCTCCCTTTATCTTCCCTCTTCCCCTATTTTTAGCTTTTTTTTTGTGTGTTTTTTTGAAAGAAGCAGTTCAGAACCGTTACGTAACAGGCCGTTACGGCTGTTACGGCACTGTTACGACCGCTACAGCAGCCGCAACGGCTGACACACCTGTAAATTTCAATCACACTGCAAAAACGGCCGTAACAAGTGCGGTAACCACCACAACCGTTACGTAACGGTTGCGGCCGCTTTTTAAAACCTTGATTCTAAGGCCTCGTTTGGGAACCCTCCTTTTTAGCCAAAAAGCCAGTATAAGCCTCGCATGGCCCCTGAAATCTGGACAACCAAGTTATGAGCAAATTATTAATTCCAACCATACCAAGCCCTTTTTTCAAGAACTCATCAATTTCCAGGAGTTGGTAATCTAGCCTCATGAATCCAGTAAATCTCAATTGACAGAAAGAGAATATGATGAAGAAAAACTTTATCACCACCTTGAAATTCCTTCAATAAAGAGCTCCTTGAAATCAAGCTCTGAAGGATGCACATAACATTCCCACCAGAGATGGACTTTAAAATGGAATAATAGAGGGGCAGCAAAGCATTATAGCTTAGCAAAAAACAAGCGAACCAAACATAATTTTAAAAGTAAAAGAAAAAAGTTGATGTGTTGACCATCGAGTTGTGATCCAACAAGAAACAACCTTTAAGTCCTCTAATTAGAAGCTTGATTCCAGGTCTCTCGTCCTGCTTGGAAGACATGAACTAACTCCTGCTTGGAAGACATGAACTAACTTTAGAATTAGAAACTTTTCTCTTGCCAGATCTATCTTTCCGTCATGATGCTTTAGCATAAGAATTTGCAACAATTTAAGAAGATCTATCTTGCTAAAAGTGACAATTCAACTCAACAATTTAATGGAGTGTCAGGATTACAAATAATTAGTCCAACGTTATCACGAACACTAAGATCTAGATATAAGTCATATGTAGTACTTATCCCCTCTCATGTGACAATATGTACCCACAGTCACTCTACAAATTTGAACAAGTATCAATCTTAAAATTTAAAAAGCACTCCAGGTTTCTTAAATTCCAACTGATTGTACTAAAATTTAACATATTCAATCCAAAAGACTTCTTACAATATAGATATCAATGGGCCAAAGTGCTTTTAAATGAGAGAACCAAAGCCATATTAACACTCTGTAACCCAATCCAAATTTCATATGCAACTGATACAATGACATGATGAATACAATGGTATCACTTCAATAGAATCCAAGCAAAGTAAAATGGCAAAAGAATACTAACATTCACCATTAATATAAACAAAAGTTGAAGAAGCCTTACTATTCTATCAAAGAGTTCTCCACCAGTAACAAACTCTAAAACAATATATATCTTTGTCTGGCTAGCCAAAACCTAGCATATCAAAATGAAACAAAAAATTAATATTAGTGACTTGGTATTAACACCAATGAATGCTCTAGCAAGTCAGGGGCTTAGCACGTAAATTATGTGATATAAAAAGAAAGTCCATATTATTGTAAAAACATGTTATGAGAAGTTTAAACATACCTCATGCAGCCGAACTATGTTAGGATGTCTGACAATCTTCATTATGGATATCTCTCTTTTAATCTGGAAACCAACTCAAAGAGGAAAGAAAATAACAACAATGCAGACAAGTAAGAAGATAAGCCAATGTAGGAAGCAATTGTACTTCAATCAACAAAATTCATCCTCAAAGATAAACTTTTCATTACATTACATATAACTTTGGTGTCTTTAGCAAATTGGTTCTTTACTTGCATTCAACTAAACCACTTCTCAAGTGTGTTAGTTCATCCAACGTCAAAAACCACTAAAAGCAGCTGCAGCAGCAGGAACAACAACAAAAAAAAAAAATTATATATATTATATACACAGTTTAGTCCCCATTAGATGGGGTTTGAGCAAGGTGTATTGGGTACAAACCTAACTAAAGTTGAGCGCACAAAAAATAGTAAATCGGTTCGCTCCAGACCAAACTGTATGGTTTGGTTTGGTTTGGTTTTCTTAATGCACACGGTTTGGTTATTGTTCTTATAACAAGGAGAGCCATACTTCACGCTTCGGTCTATGCTTCTATAGATACAGTTCCGGTTTGGAACCAAACCGGACCATTTAAATATAAACATATATATGTATGATTTATTACTTACCATAGAAACTCAATTACCTAATTAGTAGCCCATATATATAAGTTGTTAACCCTCTACACCCTGTATTCTTGTACAATGATAAAACTAGTTCTAAACAATTATAGTTTGAAAAATAAAAAAATGAGAGCTTATTGTTTGATGTTTTGTTAGTTGTGAGCAATATTCCTGATCATGGTACAAATGATGGCAAGTTTCTAAAAATTGTGATTCCAAACCAAACTGGATTTATTTGTTCGGCCTAGCTTGGTCCCAAGATTTTTATTGTTTGGTTTGGTTTCAAATTTCATGGAACATAAATAGTGGTTTAACCATTGGTTTACTCCTAAACTGAACCAAACCGAACCGTACTCACCCTTAGGCCTAATCTAGGAAGCATGGATATGGATACAAGATACGGATACGATACAATAGATTTATGATTGTTGAGCTCAAGAATGTTGAGAAATCATATTATAATTTTATAATATAAAATACTAATATTTAAGAATTAGGTATTAATTCAAGTTAATAGTTAGCTTACTTCTTTTAATTTTTAATAGGTATTACAAATATTTAATTTTAATATCAAGTCTAATATATTTATATCATAATAATAAAACAACAATATTAAATTTAATTTAATTTTATAATTCTTACTTTTTATGTAGTTATAAGGGACGTGCACAATACAATAAGAATAAATCAATTAGACAAATTATATTACTTTATTCACTATGTTCTTCTTGTCAAATAACTAAGCAAAGTATTGGAAAAATATTATTGTATTTATACTTACAATTATATTATATTATAATGTTATACTATGCTAGAAATGTTACAATTCTAATTTTATAAAACAAGTAAACATGACTTGGAGTATCCGATACTTTAAAATTAAGACCAAGTTTGGCAACTCTCAAAAAGACAAAAAGTCAAAAAATTACTCAAAAAGTTATCACTATTACAAAAAAAAAATATATATATATATAATGTTAAATACAAATCAGCCGATGCACAACAGCCTATGTACAGACATCAAAGCATAAGAGTAAAAGGGAAAAAAAAAATATTACATGTGTATATTCTTAAATTGGATGGTAAAGTTGGGCCCATGGGGGTCCACAACGGGTTTCGTTTTTCTAATCGGAACCGTTCAATGTGTAGAACTCGTCGAGTACTATATTCCTGTAAAAAATCACATCTATCGAATATCGCTAATTACATGATCAAATCAATTTTGTATAAAAAATGGATGGTGTTATAGTTAACATGTGACCAAAAAAACTAACACGATCAGATAGCTATCGATATGCTCTATATACACAGTTTAGTCCCCATTAGATGGGGTTTGAGCAAGGTGTACTAGGTACAAACCTAACTAAAGTTGAGCGCACAAAAAATAGTAAATTGGTTCGCTCCAGACCAAACTGTATGGTTTGGTTTGGTTTGGTTTGGTTTTCTTAATGCACACGGTTGGGTTATTGTTCTTATAATAAGGAGAGCCATACTTCACGCTTCGGTCTATGCTTCTATAGACACGGTTCCGGTTTGGAACCAAACCAGACCGTTTAGATATAAACATATATATATATATGACTTATTACTTACCATAGAAACTCAATTACCTAATTAGTAGCCCATATATATAAGTTGTTAACCCTCTACACCTTGTATTCTTGTACAATGATAAAACTAGTTCTAAACAATTATAGTTTGAAAAATAAAAAAATGAGAGCTTATTGTTTGATATTTTGTTAGTTGTGAGCAATATTCCTGATCATGGTACAAATGATGGCAAGTTTCTAAAAATTGTGATTCCAAACCAAACTGGATTTATTTGTTCGGTCTAGCTTGGTCCCAAGATTTTTATTGTTTAGTTTGGTTTCAAATTTCATGGAACATAAATAGTGGTTTAACCATTGGTTTACTCCTAAACTGAACCAAACCGAACCGTACTCACCCTTAGACCTAACCTAGGAAGCATAGATATGGATACAAGATACGGATACGATACAATAGATACAGTGATATGCTAAAATCTAAAAAAATAGGATATGAGTACAGTTAGGATATATTCGTAAAAAAATATTTTTAAAAAAATTATTAGTAGTTAGTTTATTACACATGAGCTCAAGAATATTGAGAAATCATATTATAATTTTATAATATAAAATAATAATATTTAAGAATTAGGTATTAATTTAAGTTAATAGTTAGTTTACTTCTTTTAATTTTTAATAGGTATTACAAATATTTAATTTTAATATCAAGTCTAATATATTTATATTATAATAATAAAACAACAATATTAAATTTAATTTAATTTTATAATTCTTACTTTTTATGTAGTTATAAGGGTCGTGCACAATACAATAAGAATAAATCAATTAGACAAATTATATTACTTTATTCACTATGTTCTTCTTATCAAATAACTAAGCAAAGTATTGGAAAAATATTATTGTATTTATACTTACAATTATATTATATTATAATGCTATGCAAGAAATACTACAATACTAATTTTGTAAAGGTAATATATGACTTGAAATATCCGATACTTCAAAATTAAGTATCCGATACTTTAAAATTAATGAAAAATTAATAAAGAACTATCCGATACTTTTAGTAAGTATCTGAGAGTTTTTTAGGAGTATCAATATCCGATACAAATATGATACAAATACGTTGCCCTTTTAGAAGTGTCTGTGCCATAGGACCTAACCTTTGCCCTAATTTGCACAAACACAAAGTGCCTGCCCTTGAGTTCAAATCCTTTACCTCAAAATTTATAGGACACGTTTTAGTGGCCCCCCTAATTAGCAACAACAGGCAAAAGCTCCACTGATACAAATTATGCAATAAAAGGTTGCAATTTGCAAATACAGACAGGATATGTAATAATTCATGAGAACTGATTAGAAGTTAAGAACATCTACAAATTATATTCAAACACTACAAGGACACTTTGTATCTGTAATAATCATGGTTATATCCACATATACATTGCATATGCAAGGTCAATTTTCAGAATTTTGGGAAAAGGAGAGAGAATTAAGCACCTGATCAACCATTTTGTGCTTGAGTATAGAGCTTTTGACCATAACCTTCACAGCAACACTCTCTCCAGTCTCCATATTCTGCGCAAACTTAACCTTGGCGAAAGTCCCTTCACCGATCGTTCTTCCAACCTCATACTTCCCGACCTTTCTCGTCATCATTTTCATACTTGCCATTAGAACACCACAATTCACTACGATCGTCGAAAAATCACATCGAATAGCACAAACAACAGCAATCAATCAAGGAATTGAACAACCAGTCGATCACAAATTGTTCGAATTGTGAACACGCACTTCTTAGGAGATCATAGAAAACCTTAAGATCGATACATTCATATAAGTATATAGATACGAATTGATTGCTGATTACGATCGCCGGAACTACAGCAGGAGAGGTCGGAGGTGAGTTAACTCGGCCGCCACAACGCACGTGACTTTTAGATAAAAGTATAGAGTTTAGAGAGAGAGAGAGAGAGAGAGAGGAGTTGAATTGCACCGCGCATCAGGCTGTCCAATAATAGCATCGGGCTGTATACCATAGCATCGCCAACTGAAAATTTTTTTTTTTTTTAAATTTAATGAAAAGTGAAACTTCTTAGTGTAACATACAAAAAAACTCCTTAGTGTAGTTTTTCCAAACGTAACACTTCAATATAACACTCTAAAAAAATTCCTTAGTGTAACACCTTAATGTAATACATAAAAAAACTTTTGGTATACTTATCCCAAACGTAACGCTCCAATATAACCAAAAAAAAAAAAAAAACTTTTTAGTGTATTTTCCTAAACATAACACTCCAATATAACACGCACAAAAAAAAAAAAAAGTGGGATTTTTCAAACCATTCCAAAAGCAGTACGAAAATTTCTTAGTAAATTTTGGACAAATGTATAATTTCAAACTGTAAATGTTATGTTAAAAAAAAGTACACTAAAGAGTTTTTTAGTATTTTTGTGTGTGTTACATTAGAATGCTACGTTTGAGGTTACATTAATTGGAGTGCTACATTTAGAAAAAGTATACTGAAAAGTTTTTTTGTATGTTACATTGGAGTGTTACATTTGAGAAAAGTATACTGAGAAGTTTTTTTAGAGTGCTACATTGTTACGTTTGGGAAAAATACATTAAGGAGTTTTTTAGTGTGTTACATTGAAGTGTTACATCATTGGAGTGTTACGTTCTTATTTGTAACGTGAGATTTATTTCAAAAAGAGGAAAATTCAAAATTTCTATAGTGCGGATTGTTCAAATGTGTAATTTCACATTTGGATAAACTCATTTTTATCTCTCAAAAATTAAACCCAAACGGATAAATGACTATTTTTTTGTGTAATTTATATTTTACTGGTACTTTTGGGTTCATAAGAAAAAATGAATTATTAAACAGTTCACAATATCACATTTTCAGATTTATTTAGTGTATTTGGGTTCAATTTTTTGAATTCAATTTTCTAGAAATTATTTTTTATATTTTTTATATTTTTAATGAATATTTTTAAATTTTTAAATAATTTTTTTACTTTTTTAAATATACCTTACTTAGATTTATGAAGAGGCTAAATAAAAACAACAAATTATACTTGACCAACTTGATTTGTCGTAATTGCACATTTCATTTGAAGACTAAAACTTATATGGGGTTCAAACTTGGGAGGAATAAATTGCATTATTTAGATTATAAGTGTAAAATTAATTAAACAATTATAAATGCTATCAGTGTGTTTGATTTAGTTTTATGAATTTAGTTTTTTGAAAATTGAATTTTTTGTTTTTTGTATTTTTTTATTTTTAGTGAATAATTTTAAAATTTTAATCAATTTTTTTTTTTTACTTTTTAAATGCACCTTACTTAGATGTAAGAAAGACTAAATAAAAATAACAAATTATACTTGACCAGCATGATTTGTCACAATTACACATTTGAAGACTAAAACTAAAACCTATGTGAGGGAGGAATAAATTGCATTTAATTTAGATTAAGTGTAAAATTAATTAAACAATTATAAATGCTACTCTTTTGGCCAAAAGTTGTCTCATGGCAAAAAATTTAAGGAAAAAATATAAAGGGGAATTTTTTTAAGGTCCCTAATAATAGCAATTTAGAGTATAAAGAACACGAAAAAAATGAATGATGTCTCAGGTCTCTAAACCAAAACACGCGCGCTTTTTATTCATTTCTTAGAGCTAAATACCCTTCACAATCAACCGAGAAAAGTGAATGGATTTCGACCACTATGAGTTCCACAATTGATATCCATGATTGAGAGAACAACAACATTAGGGTTTCACAATCATCTTCACGATCGACGTTAGGGTTTCATCATCTTCCACGAAAATCTTTGCGATTCCTTCCTCACAAAATTCTCTAACACATTTTCATTGTCCATTGTCATCTCAGTTTATCTCCATCACAGTGCATCTTCATCTCAAGACATATCAGTTCGTAATTAGGGTTTTATCCTCACTCTGGTAAGTTTTTCTACAAATCAACTAGTTTTTCTCCGGAAACATAGTTAATTGTATTTTATAATAGCCTTCTATTAATTACGTTTCAATTTTGTAATAAAAGCTAGATAAATTTGAAAAATGAAATTTCTTTGCGTTTTGAGCTTATTCTTGAAGCTTGTTGTGTGCTTGTGTCTATAAATTTCTCTAGCATTTGAACTTTCTATAGCTTACTTGATTTATGTTTCTTCTTTGAATTTTATCTACCATGATTTGTCCCCCATTTATTTCTGTTTATGTGGCTATTTAGAGTTTCTTTGGCTATTTTGTACTTCAATGTGTAATTTTCTCAATTATTGAAAATTTCATTGTATTTTCTATGGCTACATTTATTTATTTGGTGAAATTTACTATGGAATTTATTTTCTCTAGCATGTTTATTTGGTGGAATTTGCTATGAAATTGATTTTATCTCTTATAGAATTGATTTTTTATTGAGAATTTCTCTGTTATTTTTTAAATTTCTCTGCTCCCTTAAATTTTTTAATATACACCAACCTCTCTTTCCTTCAAATTTGATTCAAGTTCAATTCATTCAAATTTCTCTATTGTGTAATTTTCTCTTGCATGTTTAACTTATTTGGTGGAATTTACTATGAAATTGATTTTATCTCTTGTGGAATTGATTTTCTATTGAAAATTTCTCTGTTGTTTTTAAATTTCTCTGCTCTTTTACATTTTTTAATATACACCAACCTCGCTTTCCTTCAAATTTGATTCAAGTTCAATTCATTCAAATTTCTCTGTAGTGTAATTTTCTCTGGCATGTTTAATTTATGTTGCTTTGTTGATTTTCTTTGGCTAGTTGTGTACTCGTATGTTTAATTTTTTCAGTTATTGAAATTTTTCTATGACTTTTGTGGCTAGATTGATTTATTTAGTTAAAACCCACTAAAAATAAGCCATTAACCATCATGGTTACATCTCAGGTTATTTCATCTTACTTCACGCATCTACGATCCCAAAAGGGGTACATGTATCGTGCTCTATATTGAATCATACCTTTAAGTTCTTAGTCTACAAAATATCTCCATAAACAATGGTTCAAAACACTAGATGGTCATGGCTTAACTTTCTCTAGAATGTAATTTTCTCTGACCATATTTATTTATGTTGCTTTGTAGATTTTTCTCTAGCTAGTTGTGTACTTGTATGTTTAATTTTCTCAATTATTGAAAATTTCTCTGGAAATGAAAATTTTCTATGGCTAGATTGATTTATTTGGTTAAAAAACACTTAGTACTCTCTTATGTGTATGTAATTTTCTCTAGCATGTATAATTTTCTCTAGTCATATTACTTTTCTCTGGCATATTTAATTTTCTTTGCTATGTTTGATTTATTTTGTTAAAAACCACTTAATACTTTCATATGTGTAATTTTCTTTGGCATGTTTAATTTTCTCTACCATGTATAATTTTCTTTGGCATGTTTAATTTTATGTTACCACATTAATTTATTTTGCTCCTTTGATTTTCTCTAACTAATTGTGTGCTTGTAAATCTAAGTTTCTCTAGAATTTAATGTTGACATCTTTATGTTTTCATTGTCTAGAAATGGCAAGACGCAACAACAGCAAAACACCATAAAACAGAAAGTCTTTGAGTCTGCCACTTATGGTCTGAGACCAAAATGCAGCAGTAGAAAAAATGCATATTAATACAGATAAAAACACAACAAAAAAAATTCCCCTATCAATGTATATTTGTGTATACTTATAAAAAGTATATATATATTTTTACTAATGTAAACTTCAAAATTTCATTGCTATCAATGGTTACACAGAGAAAATTATATTTGTAAAGAAATCTCTTTGATTTGAAATTATCAAAATTTCACACAAAAAAATTCTAGTAACAGAGAAATTTGTCTAGTATGATGCAAAGAGGGGCCTATTTGATCATGTAATTTGTAGTGCATTATGTTGGTACAAAACAATATACAAAGTAATTCACACCATCCAATTCAAAAAACATAATGCACAAAGTAATTTTTTTTGATATTGGAAAATTTCTCTGGATGAATTTGATTGGTATTATAAACACACTACCCAAAGTATGTTTTGCATTGATCGAGAAATTATAGAGAAAATTCAAAAAAAGATTAGAGAAAATTACAAAACACAATTCACAACAAACACATTATCTTGTAATACGATCCATACGCATACAAATTTCTCTCTGTTAACCGACATCAAAAAATGTAACATAAAATTCTCTAATATCCCCAAATGTATTATTCTATCAATAAAATGTAATGTAAACAATTAAAACGGATGGATGTCCTCAACTATTTACTAAAGGTTCCTTACATGTCCTCTTATTATGGCGATCAATACTCCCACATTGACTATACTTCATCACCCTTTTAAACTTTCCAGTAAAAACGATTCTATTCTTCTTCAGCCTCCCAGCTGGTCTCTTACTTAATGAAGATAAAATCATAGTATCATCAATGGTATAGATAGGTTTTTCAACAGATGGAACTGGGCCAATTGAAAACGAGTATGCTTGACGATACATATCAGCATAAAAAAATGGTTTAATGAATAAATTCAAATTTTTTTTTACTGCTAAAAATTGCAACAACAGCCTGTTGACATGGATACCCATTTATTTTCCATTTCCGACATAAACAAGTTTTCAAACCAAGATCAACCATAACCAAAAGAAAATAATACACTTCAAACACATTATTGGATGATAAACTCACATTCCACGTCCTCTCATCCATGAAAGCCTTCCAATACACTACCCATACAAGGACAAAGAACTTTATTTCATTTACTAGAAAGTAGCCTCCTATCAGACCTCATATTCATGATTTGCAACCGTATCATGTCCACCAAATTTGTTATTAGTAAGTGCCGAGCTTCTCATATCAGTGAATTAAATGACTCAGCAATATTTGAATGCAATTTGTCATAACGTTTTTCCTGAAAATATACATGACTTCAATTTTCATATGGTAAACTTCTCAAGAAAACACTCACAATGTCTCATCCCTC